TGATCCCTATGCAGTACTCCACATTAAGAAAATGCAAAATGGTTGGATTTCTTCAACCTACGTTATGTTTGACGGGCTAACTGAATAGCTAGATGATAGCTGATAAACTAACCGATAAAAATTGACCTTTAGAAAACTAACAACTAAGCTAGCTGAAATAACTAACATAAAAGGGTATATATAGAAGACTGAGTTTACTAATAATTAATAAACATATATTTGAGAGATTTTTGGAAATGTTCAATAAGCTCGTTGCAATACCAGTTTGAATGACTTTTTAAAAAGCTAGAAAAATGACAATTTTTAATAGCTCGAAAAATAATTGAAAACAATCGTGAGAGTTTTAATATTCTTGTCATAGAAGACTTTCTTATATTTGTTTTAACAACAGACAGACATTTAATCATATTGTTAGACTTAATGATTTATTTTAGTGAATACAAATTGCTTAGTCTTGTATTAACCACATTTAAACATCAAATTGGTGTACTCGTGTCGTATATTTGTGTCAGACACGAATTTATACAACATAATTTGTAAAACGTGTCTAGATGTGAAATACGAACACGACACACAATTAATTCGTGTGGCGCGTGACACAACACAAATATGACACATTTTTAACTGTGATACAGAAACACAGATTTACACAAATTTATACATGAAACACGAATGCTATATTTTAGAAAGTAGCATGCTATATTTCAAAAATATATTTAAAAAATGAAAGTACATTGCTAAAACAAGCTTAATTAAGAAAGTAGCATGCTATATTTCACTAAATTATTTGTGACTTATATGTGTTGTGTCTAACATGAAAATTATTTGTGTCTTATATGTGTTTAAACAGGTAAATCCGTGTTTGACCCGTGTAATACATGAAACATGAATTTGAAATTCGTGTCAACACAAATAGAGACAAAATACGAATTTGCAAAACACATATGCAGAAAACACGTATCGTGTTCGTGTCATTCGTATGAAGAAGCTCTCAAGATTTCTTCTAAAAATAGCTCTGATCTTGAAATGACATCATACAAATTTCAACATGAACCGGAAATGAAGATTGCAGAATTGAGTTTACAAAAGAAGGAGAAGGTAGCCATAAAATGTGAGTATGTAAAATCATCATCCTCAGAAATTAAAATGCTGGCAGAAAATGTTGATGATATCTTATAAACAAAAGAGTCAGCTGAGGAGCAATTGGGGGAGACAAAGAAGGCAAAAGAGATTCTGGAATTAGAAATTCTTGAATTGGAAACCGATCTTGATGAACTGAACGCTTTAATAGAATCATTGAACGGAGATTTGAAAACTGTTACTTTTGAAAGAGGTGACAACATAAGTATTGATACTCAAGAAGAAAAATGGAGGGCACAAGCATGATCACATGTCAGTTACTAATATCTCAACATATAGTAGGTTCGATGAACATAGAACATATCCAGCCGTTAGTCTGGTTTTGTTGGCAATTCAAACCACCAGCTTATACAATGTGAAACTTTTACCCCTCTAATTATATACATGTTATTTTTCTTTCTTGTTTATAATCGTTATTTCATGAGTCCCACAAGAGGTGGTCATTTCTGTTCTAATGAAACTCGCGGGAGGATGCCCATCATTGGCTGATCAACTCAATGATAAAGCATTTGCAAGTCCCGTTAGATGGTATATAAGTTAATTTAAAACATTATTAATTAAGACAATTATGCCCTTCTTTATGTTTTTTTTGGTTTGTTTGGTATGGTGAATGGAATCACAAAGGAATGGAATCATAAAGGAATGGAATGAACAAAGGAATGGAATGGGTCATTACTTTCCCGTATCATGTTTGGTTGGCTGAAAGGAATAAAATGAGTAACTCAAACATGTTGTTTGTTGTGTATATTTAGAAAGTTAAATGAATTAATTTGATAAATAAAGAAAAATGTTATTTTATAGAAAGTTCTTTAATCAAACAAAGAGATATTTCTAAATTAATTACATATTTAGCTGTTAAAACTAGAACGATAATAATAATTATAAATATTTAGTAGTTCGATATACGAGGTTACCCATTCAGTTGCACATGGACATTTGCAATGTATCCACTGTGGCGCAATAGAAGGCACCGGGTACTCTCTTTTTAACTCTACCTTGACATAATGATTACCATAGATAAGGCTAATTGCAATAGCAATGCGTTTATGAATTGGTGGTGGAGTGGATAAATACCACCATGATTGCATACATGATTAATTTTTTTGTCCTAATATTTCTACTAGATATTTTTTTAAAAGGACAATTGAATTTTTTATGTCCAAGTGGATATTATATATATATATATATATATATATATATATATATATATATATATCTATATATATATATATATAGGCTTAGGTTATTCTATTCTAACTAATTATTGTGCGGATATCGTATGCTATGAGAATGATAAAGAAAATATGTTGTTTGATAATATAAATACGTTCAATCTTACATAACTATTTTCATTAACACACATTCTCACTAATTAAATCGTCTATAAGGTTGTTATACACTTATTATTATTCTTCTCATTTCTGTCAGAATGTTTGTCAGAATGTTTATTGGGTCGTATTCTGTCAGAATTAAAATGAGTGAAAAACGATGTGTGAGAACAAAAATAAATAATAATTAGCGAGAATGCATGAAAATGACGATATTTTTGTAAGGTTGAACGTATTCGCATTGCTAAACAACTTATTCTCTTAGTAATTCTCATAGCATACGATATCCGCACAATAACTAGTTAGAATACTTGAACCTAGCTCTCTCTCTCTCTCTCTCTCTCTATATATATATATATATATATATATATATATATATATATATATATATATACTTTTATAAATACCTCAATGATTGCATACAAGATTAACTTTAATTAAGAGCCCACTTGTTCTCATCTTTCTCTTTCTTATGATAATTAATAGCCAAACGCACGTCACATCTTTTGCACCCAAGCTATTAAATTGCCACAAGATTTGAACACCGACTTGTTTTGGTTAAAAACTTACAATGCTACTTAACGATTCATGAAGATAAAATATATGTTAATACCATATTTATTGAAAATTTTGACGTGTTGTTGACAGCTTCACCTCCTTCGTTTCGTTGAAAACTCGTCATTTATATTGATCAAAAATGTTATCGAAGTTCTATAGGAGTACTGGAGTAGTAATTGAGATTTATAAAAGAGTTGAGTAATGAAAATTGTAGATGTGTAGTACTTGACATTTATATAGAGATGTATTGATTTTTGAAATTTGTAAAAGTTATAGAGGAAGTGACGTATTATTCTTTCAAATTGCAATTTGTACAAAAAGTGATGAATTATTTTTTGAACTTTGTAAGTTATAGATGAAGTGATATGTTATTTCTTCAAGTTGCAAGTTATAATAAAAGTGATGATTTTTTTTTTTAATTTATAAAATTTTTATGGAGAAAGTGATGAGTGTTTTTTTTTTTTAAAACTTTTTTTTTTAATTTTTAATTTTTAATTTTCCAAGTTATAGAAAATAATAAATTACTGTATAAAAACAAAAACATTTAAGTTAATTTAATAAATAAAAGGCTATATTAAAATAAAAACTATTGTTGATGGAATAAAAATTAAATATCTTTATTAAACTATGTCAAATAAAAAAAAAGATGCAATTTAGGTGAATAGTGATGAGACAAAAAGCAAAAAATCCTTTTTAATATAGCTTTTGTATTTCTCAAAAATTGATATTGATTGAGATAATAAGTTGAATGTTAGATTTGTTGTTTGATTTTTTATAAAGTTTTAATTTCCTAAAAGATAGTATCATAATTTTATTAGAATCGTTATTGAGCTTTTCAGTAAATTTTCGTGTTTTTGTTAAAACTGATGTATTGTGCTTGATAATCAAATATAAGGGGAAAATACAAATCTAGCCAAAATCCTTAATTACTTAACAAAAATTAGCCAAAAAAAACCACTTAGCCAAAAATAGCCCACAAAAGAATAGTCAACTGTAGGTTGACTACTGTTTCGCCAAATCGTCTACTGTTTCGTTTTTGTATAATTTTTTTTTTTCATTTTTAGGATACAAAACCGTAGGTTTTTTTTAAAACCTACGGTTTCCCCAAAACAGTAGTTAAAACCCCCAAAACAGTAGATTTAAAAGAAAAAAAAAAAACGTATTTTTTCACCCAAAACCGTAGCTACGGTTTGGGAAACCGTAGGTTTCGAGAGGAAACCGTAGGTTTTAAAAAACCTACGGTTTTGTATCATAAAAATGAATTTTTTTTATACAAAACATGAAACAGTAGACGATTTGGCGAAACAGTAGACGAATATCGAAACCTACGGTTTCGTGGGCTATAATTGGACATTTACTAATTTTTGGCTATAAATTGCTAATGACTTCCTTAATTTGGCTAGATTAGTAATTGTCCCCAAATATAATTGATTTTCTGATAATTTAAAGTTAATTATATATTTGAATAATTTTTTTACTTATAAATTATATTAAACCTTGGGGGCAAAGAGGTTTAACAAACAAATAATTCCATTATTATATACATGTATTAGAACACCAAAAATCAGGGGGCTATCTAGCCTTCTCATTGCCCTGTTCTAATTGTCTTTTGTCTTTTGTCCTTCGCCGTCACCTCCACCTCCACCGCCACCATCAACACCAACACCACCACCCCCATTGCCGCTACCACCAACACCAACATGACCGGTCTTTTTTTTATGAACACTTACGAAAACTAACAATTTTTTAATAAGGATTAAAGACGTGGAAAAGAAGACTTTTGAACCATAACAGAACCAGAAAACATTTTACCTCTTAAAAACAATCTCCACCTTAGAAACAAGAGCAACCACCATAAGGTGTGAAGCCACAGCGGAGAATTGCTGTTATTGTTGTAAAAAGTAAAAACACTTCCCACATAATGCAATAGTTTACAGGTAAAAGAAAAAGGAGAGGCCATAACAATATTAGAACTTATGGGTAATAAGGGTCTCCCTCGAAAAAGACCTCTTGATGTGGAACATTAATGCCAACGAACTTGACATGTATGTCATAGTTTCCCATTGCATGTTGCGTTTCTTGAATTTTATTAACAGACTTAAGCAGTGCAAAATTCGGGTCAGAAATCTCGATATGCTCGAGTGTGGAGATGTTTCCTATTTCTAGTGGGATTCCCCTAAGATTATTGCAACTTCTCACCTCCAGTTTCCTGAGCTGGGGGAAGTTGAAGGTAGAGACTTTCCACATTACCATGTCCAGCCCCTGTAACTTTAGGAATTTTAGTTGGTGAAACTCCTCATCACCAGTATCCCACACGTTTCCCACGAATGAAGAGTCTAGTAATTTGAGAACCTCAAGTTTGGGTAGCTGTTGAATTGTTGATATCCAACCCCAAGGCATATGTAACCCCATTAAGGTCAGCTTTTTCAAGGTTTTTGGCAACACAAACTGATTCACTCGAAGGTATGGGCTATCTAAAAACGGCTTCACATTCAAAGATTCAAGATGAGATAACAAGGCAAAGTTAAAGATTGTGTGAGAAACAGAACATCCAAGCTTCTTGATATTGGGAAAAGATTGCAGCAAAGTTTGATCTCCATCACCTAAACCGAGCCTGGAAATGGTATGCAGGTTGAATAATACAGGATACCTTTCATGGGAAACCAGAGCGATGACCCTTTCACTCCATAAATACCTCAGATTCGTCATATTACCCATATTACATGGTGAATACAATGAATCTTGATACTTTCCTTTAACAATGAGAGTTTGAAGCCTCAAGAGAGTGGCCTCCGAGAATGAGACCTCACAGTAGCTTAACCAAACTGCTAAGTAACGTAAATGAATTAGTATTGGTATGTCGCTGAAATCAGACATTCTAATATTTAGCAGATCCAACACCCTAAGAAGCAAAAACGAAGGAACCCATCTTCTACTCACATAATCCAATGCTCGAATGCTAGGAAAACACAAAACTGATCTTGTGGGTGCAATAGAACCATGTGAATAAATCTCAGATAGAAGTTTATAATCTGTGAAGAGACGCTGTTGCTTCTCTCTACTAGATCGATCTGGCATACCTAGTTTGTAGTAGAACTTCTCTTCAGCAGCTTTTATCAAGCATAGCTCCCTCAAAAGATCATGCAGACGACATGATTTGATTCCACCATCAGACCTTCTATTGACAACAATCAACAGATTTCTATCAACAAGATCCGTTAGGTAATCTTCAGCTTGTTCCTCAAACCCACTTTCAGCTGTTTCTTTAATAAACCCTTCAGCCATCCATAGGCGGATCAGTCTCTGTACTTGGATTTCATTGTCCTCCGGAAACCCGCCGACATAAAGAAAGCAGTTTTTCAAATGACGAGGTAGATGATCATAACTCAGAGCTAGGGTATCTAAGCAACCATTGGGGTCATCAATAATGTATGAACTCACATTCCTTGCAACTCTATCCCACAGATCTTCGTTCTTCTTTGCCTTCTCAAGAAGTCCTGCTATCACAACTAATGCAAGTGGCAATCCTTTGCACATTGCAGCTATACGCTTCCCTGTGTCGATCAAATTTCTAGGGCATTCATATCCCCTAAAAGTCCTGATACGCAACAACTCCCAGCTTTTGTCTTGAGATAAATACTGTAGGTTGTGAGTCAAACCTCCTGGGTTTGTAGTTGCATGCGAAGCGACTTCTGCAAGGCGAGTGGTTAGAAGAACTCTACTACCAGTATTATCATCTGGAAAATATAGTCTCAGATCATCCCAAGCCTTGGAACTCCATATATCATCAAGGACAATCAAATATTTTCTACCCTTTAGGCTCCTGTACACCATTTCACAAACTTTTCCTTCAGTGGTATCTTCATGAACGGATTTGCCTATTGATGCCAATATTCCTATTAACACATCTCGCGTTGCATATTCTTCAGAAACAGTAACCCACCCACGTACATCAAAATAATACTCAACATACTCATCATTGTATACTTTCGTAGCCAAAGTAGTCTTACCTAGTCCACCCATGCCTACAATCGAGATGATGTCTAACTGCTTTCGGTCTCCAGCAAGCCTCTCCATTATTAACAATGCATCTTCATCAAAGCCCACAATGACTTGTTCACTTTCTGTTGCACTCTGGCCCACTCTTGCTGTAGTTTTGCTGGACGAAGCTTCAGGAACATGTCGGGTTGCACTTTGAGACTCCAGAAGGTGCTGGTGCTGGATATTATTATTCTTGACGGAGTTTCCCTTCTGAATCTTCCTGATTTTACAACTCAACTCATGTCTGATAGACTTCAGGTCTTTCATAACATGCGTAAGGTTAAGGGAGCAATCAAGGAAATTAGAATTAGATTGACCCTTAACAGTAAAGATCTTATTGATCTTGAGGAGGGCAGAGGATATGAAGTTTTTTCCCACTAACCCATCGAATCTTTTCGATTTTTGAACATCGTCAATCTCCTTGAGGTAGGCAGAGTAGATGAACTTATCAATGGCATTTTCAGCCTCGTGTAACCCATTTATAAGTCTCCGTTTCCAGTTTTCCATATCCTCGGCCTCATGGAGTTGTTCTTCTTCGGTGTTCGTGTTGTTAAGACCGGATCCAATCAGGTCCTCGAGCATCTTATAAAGCAATTCGATTTCAGGCTTTTTTGCTTTGATTAATTCATTGCTGCTAATCAATTTATTACTGTCATCGTAAAGTAACTGCTCCAAGTTCTCCATGAACACATCCAGATCCGTGGTCGTCATCTCTCAACTCTCAAGTCAACTCTACTGGAAAAAGAAAGAAAAGTGGAGACTTGGTTGATTTCAATCACGTTGGGAGCGTAGGGACGGTGGTCGCATTTCTTCCGAATGATGGTCAACTTTATTTATTTATTATTATTAGTTTTTGAGTAATTATATGTTTGGTCCATAAATTACACAAATAGTCCCTCGTGCACATGCGAGAAAACATGTTTAGTTCATATTTTCAAAATTTAACTCGGACCATCCATTGTTTGCATAAAACTTGCACTTTTCGTCCCTGATATACGTTTTTGTTGCGCAACTAGTCCATGACAGATCTAAAATGACCATAATGTCATCTGTCTATATTTTTTCCAATTAATTTAATGTTATTATTATTATTATTATTATTATTTTTTATTTTTTTAATTAAAAAAAGAAATATGGCCTCACCTTTTTAAAACTCTTAATTTAATCTCTCTCTCTCTCTCTCTCTCTCTCTCTCTCTCTCTCTCGATACCATCACCGAGAATATTCACCACCACTCCTCCCTCATTCACTTACCCAACCCATCTATCCACTTTAGTGTGTTACTGGTCGGAGAGTATAAGATGCACAAAACATATAAACACACACACACACACACTCAATAACTCGATGAGATTGGAAAAGAAGACCAAGAACTCGCCGATCACCCCTACCACCACTTACCACAACATATCCATCAGAAATCGCCAGTCCACTAAAAACCATTGGCCACCGCTGCTCCATCGCTGCCTCTCACCCACTACCATTTGTCTCCTTCTTTTACCATCTAAACTTCTCGGATGATCTACCCTCTTTTTGAAGATTAGATCTGAGTGGTAAGGTAGAAGGTGGGAGAGGAGAAGACAACCGGAGTGCAAAATCAATACCCTCTCTTCGGAATAATTAGAGGCGGCTAGGGTTTAGTCATCGCCAATTTTCATGCTAAGTGCAGATCTGTAACCCAACGCAGCCGCCAGAGACCTCTCGACCACCACCGACCGCTTCTGATTGATCCACCAGACCATCCGGCGAGCACGATAACCAATGATTTCTAAGAATGACTTCCGGCGGCCACACAAGAGGTCTCGTCACCGCCTTGGTTATTTGCAACCAAACTCCCACCTCCTTCTCATTCGTTTTTCCCCACGATTGCACCCTATATCTAACTGTTTAGAAGAAATCAAAGCAATATCTAACTTATTAGGCTTCAAATCAGAAGAAATCAAACTTGCATTAGAAGTTTTTTTTCCCATACGAGAGGTTCTTCTACATATTCATACGAAGATATAATTAGATTTTTGGTTTTTTTTTTCTATTTATGTATGTGTGTTAGTTTATGTAAGTAATTTTTGGATTTGATTTCATAAATGGATTTGATGTCTTGAATGGAGTTTTGTGTTAGAATTTTTTCTGGATTAGAACATGGATTCTGTTTTCTCTGGTGACAGATTTAGCGGTTGTGGTAGCCGGAGGTTAGTGGTGGTGGTGGTGGTCGGAGGCTAGTGGTGGTGGTGATGGTCGGAGGTGATTATCCGATAGCCAAATACCATGAAATTAATAAATAATTTCTTAATGGATTAATAACTAGATAAATTAAAAAAATAAATAAATAAGGACAAAACGGTCTTTTTATGTCATGAGGGATGAAATGTGAAAGTTTTAAACATACGAGAGACGATCCGAGTTAATTTTTGAAAATAGGGACTAAACACGCTTTTTGGCATGTGCACGAGGGACGATTGGTGTAATTTACCCTAATGTTTTTGTTTCACATTTCCCTTGGTCCATATAACATCCAATGGTCCATATAACATCCAAAAATTTAAGACCAAAAATTTCATTTTTAATTATGTTATTATAAAACTAATAGTATATAAACGTCCATCGTGTCATCCCATATCAAAACCATTGTGTCAATAATCAAACACGTCATAATGAAACAATATCAGAGTATAATCCCAAAGATCTCATGTGCGGAAAATCATAGTGATTCGCTGCGATCATGCCGACTCCTTTCCTTTTGAAGAAGACGTACCTGAAACCAAAACTGAAAACTGTAAGCACGAAGCTTAGTGAGTTCCCCCCATAATACCACATACCATACACATAACATATTGTCAGGCATACCGGGGTGCCGAACCTACCCCTGTCAGGCATATCTGGGTGCCCGACCTACCCTGTTGAGCATACCTGGGTGCTCAACCTACCCAATGTCAGGCATACCGGGGTTCTCGACCTACCCCTTGTCTGGCATATCTGGGTGCCCGACCTACCCTCCGGTATATTTCAACCGGTTACGGGGACTATTTCATCCCTACCAATACTATATAATACCATATCATAACATACTCATATTGTCAGGCATACCGGGGTGCCCGACCTACCCCTGTCAAACATATATGGGTGTCCGACCTACCCTGCCAAGCATATCTGGGTGCTCACCAAAGCCCAATTGAAAGTCCATATACTTGTTCTTGGATGGCCCATCAATAACCCAATCACCAAAGCCCAATTGAAAGTCCCAACTCAAGGCCCAAGCAAAATTAGGGTTTTCACATAAAATGACGGTTAGGGTTAAGTGTTCATACTTAACCTATTAAGGACTTAATCCATTAAGTCCATCACTCTACTAGGTCAAACATACAATGTGGTCAGGATTAATTCATAATTCCAATCCAGTGGTCCAAACATGCGGGTCCCGACAATTCTAAATTAACATATCCAAAATTAGGGTTTTCTAAACCCTAATTAGGGTTTTCTAAACCCTAATTAGGGTTTTCTAAACCCTAATTAGGGTTTCCAACCCAATTGCGATCCAATTAGTTCATTTGTTAAGCTTTTAGGTTAATTAATTGTTAATTAAGTTGGGCATCACCCACTACCACCTCGGGTAGTGGTGGTCAATGGCAGCTCACGGCGGCGGCCACCACCTCGCGGTGGTGGTGGTTATGATTCTAAACGAAAACATGTTCAAACATCTAAACTAGCAATCCAATCACACAATGCACACCGCCACCCAACATGGCAGCTGGTAGCGGTGGCTTTCCTTCGGGTTTTCCGGCCATTCAATACATTATACATCATAATATCCCAAATAACACACACACCCAATATAACACACACACACTTTTCCCGGAATAGGAACATAGCCACCCACCTGGTGGCGTACGACGACGACGACGATACGAACGGCCGCTGGAGCGGCGATGGTGGTCGTGGCGGGGATGTAGAAACATGAGAACGGGGGAGGGGAACGAACATAGACCACCACGAAAACCAACAATGCTAGCCGCCGGCGTTTACGGCGACTTCGTCTTCAACGGAGGAGAAGAAGAAAAATATGGCGACTCGCGACTGCACACAACATCACCGGCAGCAGGGGTTGTTGGGATGGCATCCGATAGTGAGGTTGTAGGTGGAGGAATGACGACTCTTCGTCTTCATTGGCAGCCGAACAACGACGGGAGTGGCGACGGTGGCATCTTGGTGATTCTCCGACTTCAACAGGCGAAGAAGCGGCAGTTGGTGGTTGGGGTCATAAGGTTGGCGACTAAAGGTTAAGGTAGGGTTAGGGTTATGGGAGCATGGATGACGGGTTATATATTTCCGTCCAATGATCAAACTTCAGCCATGTTAACATTTTTAGTCCCCCCTCCTCTCATTCTTTTCAACTTAAGTCCCAATAATTACCATGCAGCCCCTGTCTTCATAAATATTTACAAACTGAATCCGGATTTTACCTTTTATCCCTAGCCTCTAAAAATCCTTTCATAACTAGTCCACTATTTTACTAAACACCCCTTGACTTCTGAAAATCTTTACAAAATAACTCCCAGAATTACATTTTAACCCCCGAAAATCCAAATTATATTATTTGGCTCCCCAAAACCATCACCCCGCTAAATATTATGGATTTTAGGACTACTATTGAAACATCAAAAAAATATGGTCCGAAAATTTCGGTTTAAATCATTAATAAAAACCATAATTATCAACCATTTCATTCATAAACAAAAAATTGTTATATCAAATTAGAGTATTATCTCAAAACATGTTCTTTTTATCTGAGTAAACATCCCAGGCTAAAACTTCTTGGTGTGTGCCATGCAGTCATCCCGAGCTCTTCCCTCCGCTACTGGAAGTACCTGAAACCAAAACTGAAAACTGTAAACACGAAGCTTAGTGACTTCCCTAACCTACCACATACCATACACATAATCATATACTGCAAACATTGGGCCTAGCCCGCTACATCGGGCCCCGCCCGGTATCGGACGAATCTGGAATCAGGCCCTGCATGGCATCGAGCCCCGCTCGGTATACAGATCTGTTTCTACTAGGCCCCGCCTTTCGGGCCCTGCCCGCTATACATATACAAGCAATAACATGTAATCATGCTAATACATAACAAACAATCACAATACTATAACTGCTAGTCTCAAGGCCCCGCCCCTACTCTGCTACAAATGAGATATGGAACCCTGTCCACACTCACCTAGTGATGAGATATGGGCCCCCGCCCACACTCATCCCCCTACCAGGCACATACAAGTATCAAAAAGACAACAAGGATAACTAAACATACACTACTGCCTCGGGTACCACCCGACATCGAACCGTAGCTCGGAAACATACCTATAATCCTTCCTCGGGCCTCGCCCGACATCGGACCGAAATCTGGAACATATAAACTGATGGGTTTTGAGCATTCTAACACTTCCTAAGTGTACATGCAACCCTAATAACCTTGGATCTATGTTTGTCTAATAATCATGCAAAGTTGAATTCCAAGGTTATATTCCTATCTAGCATACATGGGGAACATTTTTAACTTGAATGAAAGATAGAATAACTTACCTTGTTGTTGATTATGATCCTTGAAACCTTATGAGCCTAGCACCCCAAGTGTGATGCCTCAAATGCTTCACACAACACCAAATGCAAAGGAGTAAACTTTGAGAGAATCTTACACTTGCAAAATCGGCTCTAGCCCT